AGTATAAAATGCACAATAAGAGGCGCTCTGCGCAATTCTGCCCAAAGAGCCTCATGCTTAAGCTTTTTTGGGTCCAGGTGAGGCGTACACCTCTGGCTTGTGAGGCGTGCCTCGGAGCTGATTGCGCAATTCTGAGTGAGGCGCACGCCTCATGTAGCAGGTCCCACACACTTAAGTTCTAAATGAAATAACCTTTCTTCCCCTTTCTTCTTCCACCTACCCGAAACCAAACGACCAGTTCGCAAACCCGCAAGTCCGCACACTAGCTCCGCTCGGCCTCCCTTTGCCACCTCTCCCGCGCGCCACCTCATGCCAGTGAGCTTTTAGTGTCCGGCCGCCCTCTACGACAACTCCACTACCGATTTTAGGTATTTTTAGTTCAAGGAAAGATTTTTCAAGTTATAGAAAATCTAGAATTTTTTATTTTTTGAGATTTTTCGATTTGTTTTCGCTTTTCGTATTTGGTGAATGGAGAAGTTACTCGCATGAAGGAACACTTATCTGGCTCACATAAGAAATGTAGCACCTTGTGTGAATGTGTCGAATAAGGTGGAGGAAAATTACTGCTTACATGAAGAAGAGTACCACGGCCAAAAATTTACACAATGAGCAAATTTGATGAAGGGTCGAACATGGTGCTTACTTCGGGAGCGAGAGTGAAAGGGCTCTTCCTCCACTATACATAATAAAGGTGCGCGGGGTCCTACGGACCAGTATATGATTAATCCAGGAGAGGATAGAGGACAAGCAAAGATGATGTATACAGCTGGTACCAGAGAGGTGTAGATGTCAGATTTGCATGGATATTGGCAGATTTTTTTAGAATGTCATACCATTTAATGTTGCGACATCGCCGGCCTACTTCAATATTGTGATCTGTAGGGTTGATGGGAGAGGGTTGAAGGCACCTTCAATGTACGAGTTGAGAACATGGATATTGTCATATAGTCAAGTGCAAACAAAAGAAGAAATCGACTTTCAACACTACAAAATGAACTTCCTTGTGTATATATATTATGCACAACAGGGATAATGAGTGGTTCATAAATGATGAGAAAAGTTTGTCATTATCAGACCTGCATCTAGAGGATCTATGTGTGGATGCTTGAGGGCCGAAGCAGCACATCCACTAGTTCTCAGCACAACAAGCAAATAAAGATATCTCACAATTCTTGTTGTTATTATATAATATATATATTATATATATATATATATATATATATATATATATATATATATATATATATATAGTATAATAATAATATAATATTATAGTGCAATGAACATGCACTAATCATTCTTATTTTATTCAAAGAGATAAATGAGTAACATTGAATATGATGAAGATTTGACATTCATAAATAACAAATTGGAGAAAGAAGATTTCTCTTGAAAACCCATTTAGTGTGGGACATGATTTGTTTTATATGTTTTTTTTTATTTGTACTTTGGGAGTTTTGATAGACTTATATTTTGTAGTTTTGTACTTTGAATTATGCTATGAGATGCATATATTGCATCTATTTTATTGTTTTCCAATAATTTCACTTGTCATTTAGATGTTTTTATTGTATGATAGACTTTTAATGTTATTTACCTGCTAAAATACTTAAATTCTCATTTACGCAATTTTTTGCCTCACACCGCCTATAGACTTATTTACGCAATTTTAAACTTTGATTTACATGTATAACATTTATACATGAATTGGGTGAAAATAAAACTATTTGGTAGCATAAAGTAATCAAGCTTATAATATATATTAGATATGTAACATGCTTTATTGAATAGCTTATTCTTTTTTATAATTTTAATTATGATTAAATGTTTAAAACAAATCAATTTCATTATTTATAACATGTAACTATTTAATCATAAATAAATAAACATATATATATATATATATATATATATATATATATATATATATATATATATATATATATATATATATATATTATAAAAGCCTAAAAATAATTTCAATATATAAAATCATTTAATATAAATATCAGATTAATTTTTTCTTTATCAAAAATAATTTCAATATTTAATAGTTAACATAAGTTAATTTAATTTATATAAAATTTTTAGTTAATACAATGTACCTATTTCATAATTTTGTAAACAAAAGAGGATATCTTAAAAAAATTATTATAACTTATTCCATAATTTTTAATAAATATTCAATTTATTCCAATTTTGTAAGCTCTAGACGTTTAAATTTCAATCTCTAAATTCCTATTGGCTGGAACGAGTAGGCTCAAGCATGTGGCTTGCTACAATTGGGCTAAGGAGTCAAGGGACCATGCATACGTTGAATTGTATCTACATGTAAAGCCAATTGGATAGGGATTGATGAGATTAGCAGCATGTCATTAGATTTTATACTTTAGATCCAATGGAAATTGGAATTTTCTTATAGCTCTCACGCTCTAGCCTAGGGCTGCGGGATTCACGATATTTAGAGATGGCATTGGATGGTGCATAACGGCCTGGTGTTGATTAGACTCAATTGAGAAGAGGTTCACCTATGCCAGCAGTAGCGCCAACAACAACAGCCAGCAAAACCTCCTGATGCCTTTTTTTTTTTTTTTTTGGGTGTGAAAACTAAACTCTGAGTATATGGAGAAAGGAAGATTTCGTATTCCTAGCCTAGGGATCCTCTCTAGGATTAATCCAACCAAACCTAAACCTCTGCAGCAAGACCAATGAGCTCTAAGGAGATGGAAAGTGGAAGAAGGTAGAGGGCTATGCCATCGTAATGTTTGGTAAAGAAGATAGCCTCATGCAGGTTAGCTTACCTTGTTCATCTTCTCTAGAACTATGATAATATGCGTGAAGGGAGAAAGAGCTTAGGAAGATGAGAGAAAGTGCCCGAAGAAGATAGAGCTATGGAGAGATGAAAAGGGTTGTTAGAGTATTGAAGTTTCTTGGAATGATCTCCTTTTCCCTCCTCATCTTCATTGTTTTGGCATGGAGAGCAATATGGAGCTGCTCTTGGAGAGCAATATGGAGCTTCTCTTGGAGAGCAATACGCACCAAGGTATGGAGATTATTAAGGGATCAATGGTGGCAACCCTAATCAATTCAAAGCATTTAGTCTGTGCCAAATTAACTGGGGGATAAGATTAATTTAGGTTTACCTAATTCAATAAGCTAGGATTGGCTAAGACTTCAAAGATTGACCTAAGTGAGTTTTCATCAACCATTTGCCAAATTCAAATATGTTGCCAACACCAATATCACAGCACCTCCTTCATGTCTCGCTTGCGTCAGATCTAAGTAAAACGGCCTATCGCTCATCATCCCATGTCCACACACATTCCAATCCTTGCACTAGATGCATCACCTACTAAACTTGGTTTTATTATGTTTGCAATAGTGCTACCCTTCTACTATCATTTATTGTGTGGCATTTGCTTTGGAATATCTTACAAAATGGAGTTCAAGCTTAGTTCATGTAAATCACTTCTTTTGTTGGGTTATTTTTATCCCAAAAATAAAAAAAGATTTTAAGGATTGTCCTTTGACCCGATAAGAAGATTTTAAGGGTTGATCTAGAACCCATGTAAAAGGCCTTCAGCTCAAAAGAAGATCAATGAGCTTGCAATAGCTTTTGCTTTTATGATTGGTAAAGCTTGTTTTCTCACATTTGCGGCTTAGTGAGTTAATGTAAGCTTGAGGAAAAGTTGAGCCACGTGCCACTATAAATCTCATTGTCACGTGATTTGTTTTCTAACGTTGAATTTTTACTCTCTTTCTCTCATGTATTTGCAATAATCCCAAACCACCCTAGGATGTGATTTTCCTTTCATTTACATGCATTATTTTACGCAATTTTTACCCGCCCCCAAAGATTTACATCAGTTTCTTGATCAACTAAATTGAGAATTCCAAATCATTTCAACATAAAATCCTAATTACTTCTTAGCTGCGATATAAGTACCAAATTTGGGATACATAGGATTATGCAAGGAAACCCCACACCAAGAACTCCATTCACTAATGAAAGCTCCATTTTTCTAACTGAAACCTAATTCCTCTAGTGAAACTAAACAAACATTTCATTTATTCTCAGCATCCAGATAGATTTGATGGTCCCTAGATCCTACATTCCAAATTAAATCACGCGCTTCTTATTGACAAAATAAACTACCTATAAAACTCAATAACATCCAATCAAGTATTTTTGTAGGAAGTAAGCATATGCACATATTCCAAAGTTCAGACCTTACTTAAACATATATAAATTATCATGATTTTGACCAACCTTTTTCTAGTAGTTAGATATTATCAAAGATCAGATAAATTTTAAGATGCTCGAACTAATTGAGCTATTCCTTCAACAAATACTATTTAGAGAATATAACATTTCACATAGCATCAAGTATAACATATATAAATTATCAAAGATCTTACTTAGATTTGATGGTCCTTAGATCCTCCACACCAAATTAAATTACACTATTCTTATTGACAGAATAAACTATCTATAATACTCAATCAGATCTTATCGAGTATTTTTGTAGGAAGAAAGCCTATGAGTATATTCCAAAAGTCAAAGATCTTAAACATATAAAAATTATCATGATTTTGACCAACCTTCTTCTAGTAATTAGATATTATCATAAATCAGATGAATTTTAAGATGCCCGAACTAGTTGAGCTATTCCTTCAACATATACTATTTAGGAATATACATTTCACATATCTTCAAGTAAAGCAATACTTGGACAAATAATTATTCAAACATGAGGTAAAACCCATTCCGTATCCCAAATTCCATTATGAAAGCACCAAGCACTATGAAGTCTGTTTTTTTCTACTCATAAAGCATTTAGTACTACTCTTCGCCTAAGTTTTATTTACAATTCACCAATTCAAAATCAACATCTCAATAGAAAGACAAACAATAAGTTCATAATAAAGCAATGCAACTCTGAGAGAGCAAAATAACATAAAGTAATAAATTGAACAAGATAACAAGGATCAAGGTTTACCAAGAGCTACGTGGATTTTTTCGTTGTGTGCAAGTTAATAAAAGTGTGGAAACCTCAATTATACGGGACCACAGGTCATCGCTGGTAGCAATATTTCGACAACATACATCCAAAAATGCTTCTTCATACCATCCTAGCTCAGTAGCATTTACATTCTTTCCTAGATGGATTAATGCAAGCATCCCCTGCTCCTGAGGAAAAAAAAAACATTTTTTAATAATTTTGCAAAGCACATATACCCATGAGAGAAAAAAAAAAGATAAATATATTATGGAAAGTGGAAAGTTGAATTTTCCAACAAAGATATTATCCTGGTGCTAACTATGGAAGGCAATATTCAGCCTAACCATCAATTCTTAGAAAGTTATTGGAAATAAAAAAACTCAACCACATGCATAAGATGATGATAATGAAGTGGTCAAATTAAATGACATGTTACATCACCATGGACTTGATTGTTTACGCATAACTATAGAAAACAACTAATTGATGTTCTTACTGATGATGATAATAAAGTAATCAAATTAACGGAACTGTGCATTGCCCTTACAATTCCAAAACATCAAAATACATGCTTTCAGTACCTAATTTTAGTTGAGAGACCCTGGAAAACTTGAGTAACGGTTTGGAAACAGAATGCGTGGACCAAAGGTGAAATAATTATAATATATGCAAAAAAAACAAATTAATAAAAAATCAACAACAAAAGTTAAAACTAGCAACACATAACAAGAATAAATAAAAATCGAGATTCATAAAGTCAACCTCAAACAGTTCCGATAAAGTTAACAATAACGATGATGATGATGATGATGGAAACTTTTCTATGGAAATATAACAAAATTGAATCTAAATCACCACACTATTGTAACATATTTCTAAATAGATTTGTCCCACATAATCAAAGAAAACATTCCTCAGGACCACCTTAAAGATGTTTCATCTACTAACTATGCATTCCATCTATAGAATTCAATAAAACTACCTTTATTGCTAAAATTCATATCAAAAATAGCCTAATTCAACAGTAACATTGTAAATTCCTAAATATTTGCTTGATCATTAAATTATAAACTTGGTTTCACGACCCTATAACTCATGGACTTAATCTCTCAATGGCTAATCTACATTCAAAACCATAAAGAAATATATAAATCAGATGCTCACTGAAACTACAAGATCATAGCATGATTAGGGGTGTAAGTGAGCCGAGTCAACTCGAGCTCAACTCATTAACTACGAGTCGAGCTTATCGAGCCATGACTACGAGCTCAAGCGTATACTCGAGCTCGTATATTAAACGAGCTCGAGCTCAGCCAAGCCTGAAAGCTCATTGAGCCGCTCAGTTAAATTAAAATATATTTAAAAATTAATTTAAATTAGCATTATATAATATATTTAATATTTTTAAATTAATTATATATTAAAAAAAATTAAAAAAATAAAAAATTAATTTAAAACTAAGAAATCAAGCTCAACAATCGAATCAAGCTCGAGCTTACAAATTTTTTAACAAGTCAAGCTTGAGCTCCAGCTCAGTAAAAATTAAACAAGCTTAGCTCAATCAGGTAAATACTCGACTCGACTCGACTCGTTTAAACCCCTAAGCATTTTGCATGAATTCCCTACTCATCAACACACTACCTATGTTATTGATTAAATCTTAATAAATAGTAAGCCATATGCAACATTTTATCCATCTTCATATCAAATGGCACAAACTCCGGCATAAAAATGCATGGCAAGTTGAAGATCAAATACTTGCCCATTATCCCTTTGAAATAACCCCCTCTATACCATCGGAAGGAGGACGTGAGGATAATCAAAGCTTAATCAGGGACAAGGTTTATAACCTTGAGTGTTAACATTCAATTTAAGATATGCGATGAGAAATAAAATAGAAAAATACTAAGCACAATTCAGAAACAGAAGGACGTGATAAATGCAAAAGCAGAAAATGAAGACCACTGCATCAGTGATGGAAGGAAATTGCGATATTTGGAATAGTTAAAAACTGAAATGGACACAATAATTGGTATTCAATATCACAATTTAGTACCTTCACCTCAGGTGACCAGTGATCCAATGTTGTCAGAGCACATGGCATGACCAATGCGCACAAATTTCCCAAATGGGGATAAATAACCTAATAAAAATGCAATTACTGAAACCAATCAAAACTCAATTAAGAAGCAGGAAGATGCAGAAACGAAACAAGATTATTCAAAATATAAAACCTGGGTCACGAGCCACCTAAACTGATGCGCCGCCACGATGGAATTCACGACCGGAGCCCTCACCGACCCCGCCACAAACACTTCCTCATCGGGATCAACGCAAGTCTCCTTCACGACCGCCTTGAGTTCCGGAAGCACTTCAGCCATCAGTTCAGCAACCATCTCGTGTTCCGCTGCAAAAGATCCAGCAGCAGAAATCTCACGCAACGCTGATTTCGCCAATGACGACAAATCCTTCGGAATCCAATAAACAGAAGGAGATTCGACTCCCTCCGCCGATGCTAGTGCGGCGCAGCAAAGGCAGAAGTTCTTGATTTCTCTGTCGACCGACTTTGGCGCCGTATTCTGCGGAAGAAGAGATTCTAGAAGTGATTTGACGGAGACGGGTGAGCCCGCGGGTGGCGTGTACAGGGTTCTGGCTAGGGTTTCTCGTATCTGCTCCGCTAGCCTGACAAAGGAAGAGTCAATGAAGAAATGTAGAAAAGAGAGAATGAGGGAGAGAGTACCGGAATAGGAGGTTTCGCGGGACGGAGAGAAGCCTGCGAGGAGAGAGCTCCGCTGATAGGGACGGAGAAGCCATGCAGCCGCTGCCCGCGATGTCTTCCAAGAGTCGGTCCAGACTCCGCAACCCAACCAGTTACCAATAAAAATTTCATAACTCGCTGAAGTCTAAAAACCGACTTAAATACTCTGTCGTCTGGATTTGCGTTTGCGGCAAATTTTGGGTGCTTTTCGCTTTTGGGACAGCTGCTGTGGGTAAAGTAACTTGGATGGCTTTTTATTAATTTTTGAATCAATTTTTTTTAGTATAAAAATAAAAATAAAAATTATATTAAAAAATTGCTTCAAAAAATAATTAAAAACCCCTCAAAACAAAATTTAAGTGGTGAAAGTTATTTTTTGAAGTTGTAATACATAAATTATTATATTTTATTTGAATAATATAATTATAAAATTGTTGTGTTGTAAATTAAATTCTCATCGCAGAAAAAATGAAATTGTTTATAGAGTCTTCCTAAACGGACCCTTAGCTAGTTCTCCCACAAAATCTTCTTTAATAGTTTTATTGTCGAAAATTAATACTAAGATGATTTATTTAATTTATCATTACGTTCGACTGCTATTTTTCCAAAAGAAAAATATTTGAGAATTTAAGGATCATATCACTAACTATTAGGCTTAATTATACAAAAACACAGTATGATAATTTACAATTTAACTAATGAAAAAATAATGAGTTGTGAATAAAAAATTGACCAAAACTCAAAATAAAGATGAACAAAGAGAGGCAGAGACTTCGAAAAATAAGACTCTAAATTAGCATAAATCACTCTCAAATCAGATGCATTTTTTTTTATATAAGACTAGGGTCGTCTCCTAGTTGCAAAGTACAACAAAATAAGCTAAAACCAACAAATTCGGACCCATTACTATGAGAAGCATGTTTCAAGGAGCAACTAGTGTAATAGGAAAATTGAAGAGCATAATTCTTTGGAGATAAATTATAAAAAAAAAAATTGGGCAATCAAATTTGAGTCGGCTAATATCATTTTCAAGAGTTAACGTCGTAATATTGTGAGAGAATATTTTGGGCATCACTGTGAGGGACAAAGGCAGGTTCCAACTATTGCTGGTGATGAAGGTGCAGACATTAGATGAAACGATATTGAAGATGGGAGAAAAGAGGAGCCAAATGCATGAGAGAGAGAGAGAGAGAGACTTATCAATATTTGATTAGATATTTATTTGTCTTCCTTCGTCAATAGGAAAACATTAGGAGCCTTAACGCCACATTACTACCACAGTGCTCCATATATATATAATTCTGCTTAGTTTGGATGAGACGTTTATATTGGATAAATACATAGAGACTCTACTAGCCGCAGTTGTCATTGATGAAAATGGTGGCATATATCCCTTGCATTTGTTATTGTGGAGGCTGAGTCAAATAAGATATGGGCGTGATTCTTACAGTTGTTGCATGACCTCATTCCACGAGTTCCATCCTAACAAGAAATATGCTTTGTATTTGGAATAGTTAGAGGATTTCGTAAAGTTTTCCTTCATGCAACACACTGTCATTAATTACGTCACCTAATAGAGAACTTCAAAAAATTCATTCGGAGTGTTGGAGTTACTTACTCTGATGATGTTTGTGAGAAGATGTACTTTGTTTGGAACAAATACAATTTGGTAACTTTTAACAGACAAATGTCAAACATCAAAAACATAAAGCAGGAAGCACGTCAGTGGTTAGTCTAGCGAGACGTTAGTAAGTGGAGTCTTTTGTATGCTGGTGGGTATCATCATAGAATCATAACTACAAATGTTTCAGAGTGCTTCAATAGGGTCTTAAGAATATGCTCATGGCCTACCCGTCTAGGGTTTAATCACAGCTATTTACAACAACCTCATAACCCTATTTAATAAGTGTTCCGTTGATGTAAGCACTTGGCCTGTTGCAGGAGAGTCCCCAATAAAGAAAGGTTCTTAAAGCATTTTCCTAGTATAAAATTTTTTAATTTTTGTACCAAAAATTAACTTTAAGAAGCAATAAGAAAACTGTCCCAAACAAAGCCTTACTCTCACATTTTGTAAGTTGCCCAAACTTGTCAAATTTTGTATAGTAGACATTTATATCTTTAGGTGTAGCCATTTGACTAACAAATTAGTAGTTTATACATATTGAATTTGGTTGTTATAGCTGACTTACATCACTTACTATTAAATCTACAATATATGATCATCTAGGTGTTGTATTGTGTATAATTGGACTAATATATTGATTAATCAATGCATTTAATATAATAGAATTAATATTATAATTTTATAATAATTTTGAATTGAATGCACTCATTATATTAGCTTATTTATGTCAAGCAAATTTTTTTTTAATAGTAATGCACATTGCATGTATATTATACATCTTTTTCAATTGTCATAATCTTTAGCTTATGTTGTGTGTTTTATATCACAATAATGTTTTGTTTCAATTACTGATTTCAAGTAAGGGATTTGAAATTCTATTTTAAAAAGAAAAAATTTGAAGTGCCACATTGTTCATTAAATTCCCTCTCTCTCTCTCTCTTAGTGTTCCTCCACAATACAAATTTTATTTCAACAATCACCAACTATAATATTCGACAACGGTATACATACAAAAACCTCATAGCCAACAAATTCATCATTTCCTTAGTGTGCCTCCGCTCTACAATTTTCATCTTGTCAATAACCAACTATGACATTTGACGATGATCTACACATAAGGATCTCAACACCCTCTATCGAATATTCATAACTAATCAATCTTTCTGAACTTGACTTACAATCAAGAGTGGCACATTATCTCGGTAGCATCGCAAAAACAAATTATAATATCTTTGTAAGAAGCAATTCGAGATTAGAGAGCAACCTTGACTACAGTCTTAATTTTTTTTAGTCAAATATGATCAGTAGTGGATCCAAAATCTGTGTGGAGGATGGAGGAATTAACACGATACTCTGACTTACAGTGCAATATATTATATCACATAAAATAATATCAAGAGCAGGGATTACTTTTTATTTTTTATTTATTTTTTTTAAATATGAATTAATAGAAAATAAAATCATTTTTAGCATTCTATATATATATAATTAAAATTAAAATTAAAGTAGCAAGTCGCCAGTTAAATGAACGACTTGCTATATTACAATATTATTTTTATATTAAATCATTTCAAAAAAATTTAATTTTTAATTTCTCACTATTACAAACAAATAAAAATTTATTATATTAACATAAATTTGCTCATTTTATCCACCGCTCATCTTAGCACGTCCAAAAAAATTTAATATAACATATTTTTATTTGTACCTACTAGTGACAAATTTAAAATTTTAAATATTCTGAAATAATGTAATATAAAAATAATATTGTACTAGGCGACTTGATATAGTAAAATTTTTTTTTATGCTGACTAGACTAGTATGGGTGACTTTACCTATTTTTAATTTTTTTAAAAAATATACTTAAGCTCTTAATATAATTTATAATCATACTTAGTCTTAAAATTTTCCCAAACAAATTGAGATTTTTTCCGTAAATTCAAATATTTCGCGCCCCTAACCAGGCTAACCTTGGATAAGAATCAGGAAACTTGGTGTGGCTTTCTGAATGGTTCATTTTGTCTGTTATCAAGCGGTCAAAATAAGCAGCTGCATGGTGGTGCTTTTGGTCAAGATGAGGACAACCGGACAAGTCATGCCTACTAATATAGAATCCCAAGTAGATTTATTTTATTTTTAAATTATTATGCCATTTTCTATCATACAGTGACTTGCATTTTGACCTTTAAGAGTATAGTTTGGCTGTAAAAGAGAAAAGTTAAGAATATTTCTTTTTTAAAAAAATAAAATCAAACTAATCAAAATTTATTTAAGATATTTTCAATTATTTAGTTTATTATTTTAGCCGAATTTAGTTTGCCCAATTCAATGGCCGAATTACATCAAATCAATGTGCAATGAGTTTTGACTTTTGACTTTCAAACGTTTTGAACGTTGAAAATGCGCGTTATTTTTTAACATAATAATTAATATTGTTCAACTTCTCATTAGCATTTTTATTTTTAAAACCACTCTAAAACGTTAATAATGCTTTGCCTCTAAATTATTGTTTTTAAAATTATACTATTACAATTTAATTTGCAAAAAGTACCCCTTTTTAGGCATGTTTATTACGTCTGGTGTCCTGACGTAGGTCTACGTTCGGACGCCAATAATATGTCGCCACGTGCTCTTACTCTTTACCGCGTGGCCTGACAATCTGATCCGGACCGGAACCCAGTATTGCTATGTTCGTGTATTGCTAGGTATTGCTTGACAATAACGAGAAATACCGCTCTATCAAGACCATACCTAGCAATACCTAGCAAAACCGGAGTATTGCTCGGTATTACTCGGTATTGATCTTAATAGAATGGTATTTTTCGTTACCAAGCAATACCTAGCAATATCCCGGTCTGCACAAATCAGTCAATACATAACAGTATCGGGTCCGTATCCGGGTCAGGTCGTCAGGCCGCGCGGTAAAAAGTAGGAGCACGTGGCACTATTTTACTGACGTCCGAATGTAAAGCTACGTCAAGACACCTCCCTTTTTAGGCTCCGCCATTTTCAAGAATCAACGAGTATTAAGTATAATTATGAAATAATTTAGTTATCTTTACAAAAATATACACGCAAGGTAGCATATTATTCAGGCTTCGTTTGATTCGGTTTATGCTTACATAAAAAGGAGTTTTAGAAAAGGAGGTTGAGAAAAAGCCGTTCAATAAAATGGAGTTTTTGACTTTGAAACGTTTTGAACGTTGAAAATGCGCGTAATAATTAATATTGTTTAACTTCTCATTAGCACTTTTATTAAAAAAACCACTCTAAAACATTAATAATGCTTTGCTTCTAAATTATTGTTTTTAAAATTATACTATTACAATTTAATTTGCAGAAAGGTACCCCTTTTTAGGCTCTGCCATTTTAAAAAATCAACGAGTATTAAGTATAATTATGAAATAATTTAGTTATCTTTGCAAAAATATACACGCAAGCTAGCATATTATTCAATTTGCTCGTTTATTTATAAGCCAATCAGTTGCTAAGTTATTGGTAT